AACCCGTTCATTTTCAAGTAATCAGTTCTAGCTTCTTGTCAATCTGATTATGAATTCAGAAAATCACATTTTTGTTTTTATCTTTTTCATTTAAAAAATGCCAAGAATGTTATAGCTCTGATCATGAGACAATTACAGCGTCTGTGAAGGTCCAATTACATGCAGTTTTTGACAACTAGCTATATTGAGACAGTAGAGTCATCCCTTGAATAGCTGGCTGAACCACACATAGCTTGAGAACCGAACAGCACACGCCCACGTAATGTGGAAGTTTACCCCTTGCTAAAGAAACTGCACACTTTTCTAAACCACCAACCTTACTATGTGATGAATTTGTAAATACTGTTCTTAATACTTTAAATATCTATACTTTGGAAGCACTTTCTTATATGTTGTTCTTTTTATGAAGGTTTAAGATATGAATTATTTTATGAAGCTTTTTTTACCCTTGAGTGAGTGAGTGAGAATGGTTTTACCATTTAAGCAAGAATGGCTTTTAGCAATATTCCAGCTATATTACGTCGAGGGACACCAGAAATTGGCTTCACATCTTGCACCAATGTCGGGAAACGAACCTCGGTCTTCGGCGTGACGAGCGAACGCTTTAACCACTAAGCTACCCGACCGCCCCGTTTATACTCTTGATGATATGCATAAGTTATGATTTATATTGTTTATCTTAGACCCTTTTTGGTAATATATAAACGATTATTATCTTTCATATGAATTGTGGGCGGTCGGGTAGCCTAGTGGTTAAAGCGTTCGCTCGTCACACCGAAGACCCGGGTTCGATTCCCAACATGGGTACAATATGAATTGTCTTTAACAATACTTATGTTGTGCTGAAATTGTTATAGCTTCATACATTTTATGAATTATATGTTTTCATCGTGTCTCATAAGCACTATGGTTGTGTGATACATATTTTACTTTTGTATTGAGTTTGTATATAATTAATCTGTAACATTGTAACGCGTGACACGCAAATAAACTACTCCCCTCTCTATCTGTGTGTATGTTACAAGCTCTATTATTAGACTATACAATATACATGTATATGTATAGTTTGATTATATTTGAGTTTCGTCTAAGTTTACGATTCGAAATGAATATTGCCGTCAGAGCGTAATGTTCAAACATCACCAAGACGTTATAATGACGAAAGCTGAGACTCTTGGCCTTTCAAATGTCTTGACAGATTACACGATTGTTTGTACTGGAAGTATCTATTCTTACCTTACATTTGCTAACTGAAGCTGTGTCTTGGAAAGTGTGGCTGTTGTCTCTGGTACCGGAGCTGAAGGTTTTGACATTTCCTCAGAGTGGACACTTGCTTGAGATACCGCAGCGTAATGCCATACCGACAGTTTTTGGTAGTTTGGTAGTGTGGAGAAGCATTATTAAATAATCTCTGGCTGTAAATACTTTGTGAAAAGCATGTAAATGTGACCGCCTCCGTGGTCTAGTGGTAGAGCGTCCGCCCGGACGGAAGGTCCCCCCAAAAACGTTAGAAATGGTACATGTTGTTACCCTGCCTGACGCTCGACAAGGGGCTAAAACAAGGACTGGTCCGCTCGGAGTCAGTACACTGTATATGAGCTGGGTATTCATGTTAAAATGTGGCGTGGTATCTCAGTGGGCTAGCACTGTAAAATAGGCATTAGTCCGGACTAACCCAAGTTCACCTCACCTCACCACACCTCACCCCTCTACTACCATGCTAACGTATTTCTTCGCGTGTCCTACGATAGATCATTTGCAAATGCAAACACTCACGGATTTGACATATTCAGGCTATTCATGCGGTGTGTCTATAGTGCGAATATAGTAATGTCTATCGGGAATAGAGTAGCCACCAACAATAGAGAACACGTTGAAAAGTACAGTTGTATAGATCTACCGACGCTCCCATTCCAATGGCCAAGTAATGCCACAAATAGTTATAACTGCAAACCGCATCCTCGAGCTTTGTTTCACTAAATCATCACTACAGTATCTAACGGAGTAGCGTCACAAATATGTCCTCACCCAGACATATCCTCCAACAGCAACATCTCTTATACGCAAAACGTCTTCACGTCGAACACGTCAAAGGCTGAGGCTAGGTCTTTGTCTTGTGACGGGTGCCACCGTTTGGCGAACACCTGATCTCATCACTCTGTCGTGTTTTATAAACACGTGCTTATAATTCAGTCGGACTTGTACAGTGAACTCTGCTTAAGGGGAGAGATTTCTTATGATTATGGAAATTATTTTGTCGCTTTTATTTGTTCCCAAGCTGTACGATGCAGTCACATAAAGACTCAGAGATAATCAGTTGAAGAATGATTTCGTGTCTTGTGCCTCTGTGCCTGGCAATGTGACATTAATTGCTCTCGTGACACATATGGTTTCTGTGACAGCTTTACCCATCACTAACCTAGCAGAACTCAAGGACAGGTTCCTTTTCTGGTCCAATTAAGGATGTCAAAAACAAGTGGTATTTGATAGATCTCCCGAATGCTTCTAACCCCACGTGCGTATCGCTCCATCGGAGTCACGCGAAATTAACAAGGGAACTATTCACCAGATTAGTAAAGCGGGTCGCGTCTTATGCAAGGCTGGCGTTGCTTCCTCGGATGGTCATTATATCTAATGACCCTGTAGCATGTCCAAAACATCCACCTTCTTCGTAGGGCTAGAACGTTCCTTCATTCCGCATCAGGAGTAAAATAGCTCTGAGACAGACAGAAAGAATTGAGAACAAGACTTACATCATACAACTCTAAGAAATGAAAATATACTCTGCAAAAAATAGAAACGCAATGCGGATCCTTTCCATAAAAGCATAATTAGCGGTTCAAGCGGTGCAAAATGAAGAGGTTTAATGTGTCATAGTGTCAGTGACAAATTTCTCGGATCAAAATGATCACAAAAAGGACATGCAAACCATTAGTCGGGAAACACGTACAATTCGGAAAACGCACCCAGTGCATAAACAAAAGGGCCATGGAGCTGCACGTACTTTACATGCAGCAGCACTTTGAACGGTATTTCTTGCAAGATTTTGATTGCCTGGCATCTGCGTCAATCGAACAGTGACAGTTCAAAAACATGCCAAGATTAACAGAAGTGCAAAGAAACAACGTCATAGGCCGCTTGCAGGCAGGGGAATCCCGATCAGCTGTAGCCAGGGTTTTTAATGTAGCGCCCAGCACCATTACAAGGCTATGGGATCGGTTTCAACAGCATGGGCCAGCTCGTGATCAGAGTAACCATCCCCGCCCACGATCGCTGAATCCGACTGCGCCACCTACGTGAAAGGACGACCACTGCCACCTCAACCGCATCCCAAACACACGGACTGTACAGAATCTCCGACCATTTTAAGAGCATCAGGTCCGCAAGCAAGACGTCCTGCTCGACAGGTCATAGTGAGTCGACAACATCGTCAACGTCGTTGTATAGCATCAACTCAAAAACGGATATAGATACTTTATTAGCAAAATATAATAAATATATGTATATATAAACTTTCAACGATCGGACACTTGACCATGATACAAACATAACTTGTGCAACATAAACACGGGGAGACGGCGAAGCGTTCAGTCGTTATAATGGTTACACATCACGATAACATCCAGTAGCTTGACAACACTGCTGCCCATTGTCAGGAGACTAGTGATCAATTGGTAGTATACGAATGACCTTTTATGTTTATTATGTCCTTGTTAATATTGGAAATGGATTTCGTGTGTTCAATAACCAGAAACATTGACATGATAAAAGTAAATGAAGTAAATGAAGGTTTGCAATTGAAAGAAATAGGTTCTTGTGAACATATTTCAAGAGAAATCAAATTGCCTTTATTTTCTACGTACCGACGAACTGATCCACTTCGAACACAGCAGTATATGATCTTAAATGTACACTATATAGAGCCGTACCTGACACTTCTTTAAGCAGTAACAATTCTGAGACACGTCATGGACAAAAGCGAGCAGGAGATAACGTATGCGACAACGACCCCCACGAAGTTGGTATTCCGACGGCGAGATGCAGATCATGAGATGTCTTGGTGTTGGTGGAAACAGATATGTCTGTCGGACGACGAGACGACAAAGACAACTTCATCCAGCTGTGAGGGGGCACGGGTGGCCCAGTCGTCTAAGGCGCCGCGATTCGCTGTGCAGAGTTGCGTCCCTTGGGGACCCTGAAACCTTGGGTTCGATTCCCGGTCTGCCCCATTATGTTTCTAGGTTTGTCAGCACCATACCCGTGCTCGTGGGGTTTACCGAAGTGGTAAACGTCTGAGACCTGCATCACCTCGGGCTTTCCTCCCACATTAAGCTGACACGCCGTGATATAACTAGAATACTGTTAAAAGCGGCGTTTAATCCCAAATTACTTACTCCCCTATCCAGCTGTGGCAGCGCCAGCAGGCAAGAGAAGTAGAATACTGATATCGCCTCACGTTTGAACATTTAAACCTTTATGGAGCTAACTTGACACTTGAGTTAGAAATTTAGGACCTAACGTCACGTTTTAAAAAGGAAAAAAGTGAAAGAAGCTAATGACCAGACACATATACCCAAATCCTGCAAAGGACAGGAACCGACTACACCCTAGTTGAGCCTCCAATCACTATACACCCATGGCCCCTGGTCAGTGAGTAGCACCGGGGCAGCAGATTGCAGGAGAAACACTGGACACGCCCGCAGTGTTGGGGAGTGAATGAGATTGTGCGCAGACAAAATTACTTTCTTCCAGTATTTTTTGAAGATGATGTGTTTATTAGGCTTGTCATATGGTTCGAGTTAAATAGGTTTGGCATGGTCAACCTCGAGACTTGGTTGACTGGTAGTCGTTGTATTCATGTTCTGGTTTCCATGATTCTGACTCAATTATGTGTAGCATGCAAAGATACAGCTACAATATTGCTGATTGCATCGGAAAACGATATTTACACGTTTACACTGAGAGTATATTTAGAGTATTAAGCCTTAACGATGCCAGCTTGTAAACTTTAATGTATAATCTCTGCGCAACTCAACTTCATTGCAGTTTCTATGGCAACGAAACAATGATGCCGATAGTCATGTTTATGATGATCATTATGTTTTGTCAAACAGCAAGTAATCGTTAAGTAGAGTATGGCATATTGATGGCACTGCATTTAACCTTCTTGCGTGACTGCACAGCACTCGTAGCATTGCTATCAATCGAAGGTTCTGCACTTTGGAAATTGAGGAAGTATCTAAACGTGCACATTTCCATTCATATGATAAAAACAATTGCACACAAACATATATATGCTGGAATAAAACTGGATTATACTTTTATTCAAAAGCGTTGACAGTGTGTGATTGTCTTTATGCTATCCTTCTGTCGTTAGTCAACTTGGCGTGATACTTAATAATAGTCTAGAATGAATTACACCTTATTTTGCTGTTGGTTTATTTAAATTAACAGTATATCTTAAGAGACGTTAAAATTTATAATACATGCCAGATGAGATCCTGATCGTAAATTTAATGTGAGTAGGGAGAACAACTGACATCCGCACAATCGCACACCTTCGCACCCGCAACCGTCATACTACAATACCTATCCACTATGTTCATCGTATCAATCACTGGATTGTCTGGGACAGATTCGAATATTTACAGCCGGACGTAATACAGCTGGAATATTCTTGAGTGTGCCCTTAAAACACACCCAAAGAAACAAAACAAAACCTCAGCAATAAACAACAACCACATACCGCAAGATCTTTGCAATAGCCAATGCGTCGAGTTCATAACAAATGACATGTATCTGTCTTCACCTCATATCTGCCCAACCCACTTACCCCATCCGAAACGAAACGAGCATTATGGTTGTGCCTACCGTCCTTCAACACAAAACAAAACATGATGCGTACACATGCATACACAGTGTACTGTCGGATAAAAATATAAGCATGTACCATATTTGACCTGCATTACAACACGTATCCATTCAAGATGCATGACAATAACAAAAGTATAATATACAAGTTCAGCAGTCGGCCTGAAGTTAGTGATCAAGGCTTGTGTTAATGTCATCCACAGAGGTAACAGGATTTGTGTCTATTTTTGCGCATATGTTTTCAATTATCTTGGACACAACCGGTGAGACTGCAGTGGAAGAACATCGCGACTTTGAACTCTCTTCCTGTATCGTTGTTGGGATGTTCAACGTATAGTCCATGATCTCTTTCATGTGTTTATCTGGTTCCACCACGCACTGACCATTAAGCTCTGTCTTCAGATGCTCCTCCACTCCCTGCGTCTTGATCGACGGCAGTTTGTGAAGGCGGAGATGTTCTCGGCATTTCGGGTCTCGTCTCTTGCCTGACGAGTTAGAGTCTGTGTACAGGGACCTGAGACTGGTGTTGCTGGACCTGGAGAACTTCAGACTGCCAGACCTGGAGGAACTGTTACTGCCTCTCATGATGCGGATCAGAGGGTTGCCAGACGCCCTGGTCTGGACCTGACCATCCGCGGGGTTGTAATCCACCATTAACTCCACCTGGCAACGAAACAGATAAGATGATGAGATGCGATGACTGGAAAGTCAACATTATTTACTTGACGTTTTTGGGGCAAAAATAACATGTTTTCGGCCGTTGCTTCAAGATATACAAGTTTGTTTCTCAGAAAGGAGTAGGGGAATAGGTTTCATTTCTATTACTCAGACAGAAGTTGTCAAACAGTCTTAGTTTCTATTCCTCAGAAAGAAGTGGTCAAACACTTTTTATTTCTATTTCTCAGAATGGAGTGGTCAAACAGTTTTAATTATTTTTCTCAGAAAGGAGTAGGCGAATAGTTTTAATTTTCTCTCCCTTAGAAAGAAACAGTGTTACAATGCCATCGTCTGAATTTTGATATGATTTGTTAGTGAGTTTGGTCTAACGCCGCTTTAAAAGTCAATACATCACGACAAACGAGATTTGTATGCAATAAGCCACGATTGAATATATCAATAGTAACCACGTCACTAGATGATATATACAGCGTTTTAGACAACTGTCGTAACATATGCTATTTATTACAGAATTCAAGCGTGAGTTTGTAGGATTTTGATTCTCAAACGAAATGCCCGAACCGTAGCCCCTTCGAGAAATACGAGAAGGAAAATAGTTCCAACCCTAGAGAGGATCACGGACGTACGGATATTAAAGAAAGATAACCTGGTACAACAAAACTGATGCCAAATATGTTCCTCATGTGTTTGTATGGTGTGTGATGAATACAAAAATCTGATTGTACGGCAGTTGTTAGAGCACAGGTAAACTTTCGCCTCTTGTAAACAACACTGATGGTCCGGTAACACAATGATAAGAAGACGCACAACTTTATGGACACCAACTTCTGGTTCAGTGCATACAGCGACGATTCGATGTGGATTCCTACACCGTCATCGAGCTGGAGTGACATTAACCAATTGATGAGAGGCATGTATGCATAACATGCTGTGATAGGCAGCAGATGAGTGAGTGAGTGAGTATGGTTTTACGCCGCTTTTAGCAATATTCCAGCAATATCACGGCGGGGGACACCAGAAATGGGCTTCACACATTGTACCCATGTCGGGAATCGAACCCGGGTCTTCGGCGTGACAAGCGAACGCTTTAACCACTAGGCTACCCGACCGCCCCGGCAGCAGATGAACATTGACAACAACAGGTAATAGATAGTAGCTCACAGATAATTGAATAAAGACACATGTACAGTTGGAATCACAACTAGCACACAGGTTATGAAGCACACGGGTATGGAAGCCAGATGTACAGTTAGGATAAGGATTTAAAGGATGAAACAGTTGTGACAAGCTAATTGGATCAGTCTTTTGCTTGATAGATCTTCACAGGCAGACGAGATGAAATACCCTTGATCTGTGTTGACCAATTAGTTGTGACGGCTGATTTCTATAGCTTCTGAGAGTTTTCTGTTGGTGAAGTTACTCACTTACTTCGAGAATGCCAATCTAACAGTTAACACAATTATAGAAAAAGACAAAGTATACACTAAAATTGGATGAATTTTAAATTAAGAACTCACAAACAGACCAGATACCTGCCCATTGTTAATTCTCTATAACCAACATTTTGAGTGGTGTTCAACCCATGATAATGCTCTCCTGACCTTGAGCCATGACAAGTAGGCTTGAACTATAACCGGTGGCGATATGTGAGAGTGACAGTTTATTGACATTGTGAGGAGATTTATTTTACTGATAGATTTGACTATCTGACTTTCAATTTATAAGAAATAATTCATGTTTAAAAATGTAATAAGAGAATTACTCTGACTTAAGCCAAGATATATCTTTGAGAATATGACATGGTTGAACTTCAACAACAACCATATTTCCTTTGTTTGTTGTTTAACGCCGGACTAAGCAAATTTCCCGCTTTTTAACGCTGGGCTGTGAATAATCGAATCTGGACCAGACAATCCCGTGATTCATATTGTTCGTTGGTTATTGTTGTTTAACGCCGCACTTAGCAATATTACAGCTATATGAGTCTATATCGAATCTGGACCAGACAATCCCGTAATTGACATCATGAGCATCGATCCACGCAACTGGAATACGATGACATGCATCAACCAAGTCTGACAACCCGATCCCGTTAGTCACCTCATACGACAGGCATAGTCGCCCTTTACGCCAAGAATGAGTTGCTGGATCCATTTATTCGTCTATTTCCACCAGACTAGGTTGCTGCCGATCTATACTAACACTAAGTCCCCAGGGGGAAGCGCCACACACATCTATGTTCTTGGTCTCATCTGTATTGCCGTTTATAATGAAGTGAAACTCACTGAATCAAACCAGATTAGATTGTCAGTCCGTGCTCTAATATACGTTCTTCGATTTCTTTTCGATCGGTGCTAAATTTGTCTCAGTATTTCGAATGAAAGATCCACTGATTGCACAACTAGCGACCTATTGAATTGCGACGAGATATACATTGTGTCCTTTAATTCTGCCTGATTTGTTTATATATAACGTCAACCAGAATAACCAGTCTCCGTAACCCGACGAAAAGGGAAAAATAGCATTGAAAACTATATGCATGGATAGCTGAAAATCAGTGGTGACACCAGGTGGTGTGGTATTGTACCATACAATTTCAGTGTCCGTTTGGCCAACCAGCGGTATCGAACCCACTTGTTTGATCAAGGCCTCAATAAAGCTTTTAAAAGCATTAATGGTTGACATTTGACGTATTATATGTTTTTAAGGCTGGCAATACACTTGCCTGTGAATGTGTGTCTAACGGGTACCGTCGGGTACGCTCATCTTTTCGGGAACACCTGTTATCATCACTATTTAACAGTGATTCATAAACATATGCTCATCATATGGTCGAAATAGTACAATCGACTCTGTGTGTTGGCAGATTGTTAACAGAAAGGTTATGTCGCTTTTGTTTACATATTCGCATAACGCGTTGTCGCATCATCTACGGTTTAACGTGCATATATCTGCTGAGAACAAGTTTATTATCATTCCATCGCATGAGATGGATTTTAGAATTCGGCTACGTAGTTACGATGACAGTACCACTGAAGTTAGAGTACACACTAGCTCTGATCCAATTGATACCCGATAACGTGTCAATAGGTATGTCAGTCTTATAACATATCTCTCTAACAATTTTCAAAGACTAAAAAAGTAAATTAATAATGTTACGTTCTAATGAGTAAGGATGTAAACGTGGAAAAGCCTTGAGGTTGTGTTAATGTTAATAGCAATATTAACCAGCGTACTCAATGTTTAATAGGAATTCTAAGACCTTTCACAGAAATTAACATACTTATAAACCCTATTAGGTGTTTGAAATAAATAACATTCCGTTTGGAAACGTTAATATTAACACAACATAAAGGATTTATGTAAATAAATACCAGTATATTGGTTACACAACATAATAACGTCATTTATCTTTGACAATTTCATGTCATTTATGAATTCATAAATAGCAATAGCATAAATGCTCATGTATAAACTGTAGTACTATATTTGGCCTTGGGCAAAGGTTGTTGTTACCCTCTGAGGTGACAATGGAAATTGTTTTCACTTAACACACAGAGCGTTAGAAACACTGCCACTAGCAATGTATATGGCCTGTCAACACGCAATGTATTTCACCAAACGACTCTGCTTCCATACGTGTTGTAGGACATTCGTGACGCAGCTTGTACGAGTTGTTAATGGCCGGGTAATGTCATTAACAGACCTGTACATCATGGACGATTTAACATAAATGGCTGTGGGTTGTTTTGGTGTCTTGCTATTATGTGTCTGGGAGACTGGCCCATTGGCATGAGCTACAGAAATAAGCGTGTTTAACACTAGTGCAGGAAGGAAAGGAGATGGAATCTCACGGTTCTAGGAGCTCTGATTAACTGATCTAGTCTGATATGAATGACAATATATGATATGAAGGGAAGACATGTTTGTCCAAAGTAAATATGTGAATCTTGCTTTAACTGTTTTGAAAAGTTGTTTACATCAGTTGTATCGTAGTGGGTCGTGCACGTTTAACAGTGTTTGGTACTGACAAACCAATGGTCACAATCGGAACAAAACCGCGACCAGTAGATCTGGCAAAGAATTGAGGTACGTCTCAGACCGAACGGTTACAAATGACACAAGTGCAACAAGGGGACACAAGTGCATGTACGTGCTTGTGTCGCTTTATAAGTGCTATCTTGAACATGGCAACCTTTTCGGATCTTGACATGACAACCATATACAACGATCCAAGATGACATGCAGTCAAATTGTTCAGAGAGCCTGACTACACCATCACATGAAGTCTTACGGCGGCAAGTAACAATTTGGTTCTTGAAACCTATTCTAATCCGGCTTTCCAGGGGGAATCTACCTTGGAAAATCTAATAACAGCCTATAGATATAAATAAATAAATATAAATACTCTGAAGCAAAAACAAAACGTCAAGGTCGGAGAGTAACCAGTCTCGATTATCCGCTGAAACAAATTCCATCGGGTGTCAAAGGGGAAAAGTCAAAGTCCATGTGAAATTTGGCAAGAAGTAGGTAACGGGATGTATGCACGGATTGGCAAAATAAAAAAAGGGAATTTAGTGAAGAAGTTAGGGATCAGGTATATAGATGTTCTTATAACGTTCATTCTACTATGAATTTGAAAAATTACTCGATTCTGAATAATTCGGTAAATCAGAGGCTATTAAATCACAATAAACCCTCTCCGCCAGCTGGTTTGACGGCCGCATCACCGCGGAAGCTACTATTCATAGAATAGTATTTTTTTCAGTCGGTGGGCATTTTAAAATAATTATCTCTACAATTTAAAGGTTACAAAATGCAAAGTTTCAGTTAGCACATTATTCAAATGATGTTTGGCAATACATTTCGTGCAGAAAACACGATAGAAATCAACAAAAAGAAAGTATTTCAAGTTTTGGGAACAGCAGAGAGCTTGGACTTTGGCGTTTTTATATAGATGACTGTGACGTCATATCCTTTACGTCACAATGACCGATATGACGTCATAATGGTGACGTTGGGTGTAGAAAGAAACCCATGTCGCTTCACTCAATATATTTGCTAGCACCAAAGAGTTCGCGTTTTATTTAGTCATGGTAGAATGGAGATAAACATACTGTGTTTTCAATGTAGAGCTAGGTTACCTGTAGATTTAACCGCGCTAACTTGAATTTGGAACCGAACGCGCAGCCTGTTGCCTTCCACTGATTTACCCACCTGACCATGAACTAGCATTTCATCTGTTTCATATTTATATCAATGCATGAAGATTCAAAGTGATCAAAATCTCCCCACTATACTATATGAAGAGGCATGACCTCAAATTCCATAGATTCAACGTTGATCTTTATTGCGAGCAATAGTCCAGCAGGTCCAGTCTTTGGTGTCTACATTTACCAACGTTTGAGGCATAGTCAGACATGCCCTTTCTACGAACATGTCTACGGCTCTTGCCCAACATTTGTTTGATCAGGGTCACAACATTCAAGGCCCCAAGTTCAACTTCCAAAAAGTGGAGGACGGTTCCAAATGTAATGTTTCAGTGATAAATGGAATGTCCGAATCAAATCCTTATTTTGACTTGGCCCCTATGGTCCCGTGTTTTCTTTTCAGGTGAACACTAGACTGTGCATTTCCTTATGGCGGGTGTCAATGGTGGGGCAGGATGCGCTCACCTTTTTGCGAACACCCGGTATCATCACCATTTGGCAGTGATTCCCAAACACATGCTTATGATATCACGATGTCCAAAGAGACCCGAGGATTTGTAACCTCTGTAACATCGGTCTTATAAAAAATGTCATGCTGAATCCATGAATAACTTTCATAATATATATTCCATGCCACGAATGTTAGAAGCTCTTTAATTGTGGACCTAACTATCTAAATGTACTATTGACTGATGGCCCACAGTACGAAATGAATAAGAATTGAGATTGAGATATAGTCGTCACAGTGATTTCCTATAATTATGGAAATTGTATTATTGCTTTTATTTTCCGAAAAGTGGTGTTTGAAGTAATAAATCAGGAAAAGATTTCTAAGAACAATTATAAATCCGCATGATGTTTACACTACGTACGCCTTAGTAATACATGAATCGTGTACAGAATTGCATATATATGTAGATACACCGAATATTTCTTCGTTTCATTCAATGACACACTTGACAAATGACACAAGGACCACTTATAGCTGAGTTTGAAGATGTATGGATAACTCGAATACTTACCGGCTTATCATGACGAATTCCATACCGCTTGCAATGAATAAATTTCCATAAGTACTTTCGGAAGCTTTTACTGGTGTAGAAATATAGAATGGGATTTAAGGCACTGTTTGTGTGTCCAAGGAAAATTGAGAAAGGCAAAATGACAAGAAAATCTGTAGGTTCCTCTTCCGTCTGAAAATCCAGGTAGAGACTGACAATGTAATAAGGAAGCCAGCAGATGGCAAACACTACAGCAAGGGCTATCAACATTTTAGCAACTCTCTTCCTCCCAGCCATTATCCTTTGAGACATACCCCTGCTTATCTCTGACTCACAGCGTTTCAGATTCTCGTCCTCTGTCCATAGTTGCTTCCCTATAAGACCATAACTAATGCAGATTCCTGTACCAGGAATGATATAGACAATGAAAAACAGACTGGCGTCGTACACTTGACGATGTAGGTCATCTGGCCAGTCTTCGTGGCAGAAGTGAAACGTCTGACCAGGAAATATATCTTCCCTGTCGGTTTTCCGGTACACCAGTAAGGGGGACATGACACCGAAGGAAATGACCCAGATGATGGAGATCATCTTGGCTGCCATCTTGCAATTACTTATCCTCTTGAATATCATCGGATGCCGTATAGCCAGAAGACGATCAAGACTCAACACAGTAATTGTGAAGACGCTTGCACATACTGTCACACCTGTAAAATACATGTCAGTGTTAATGCTTGTACATATATCTTTTGGCAGAGACAACTTGCATGAAACATGAGTTAGTAAGAAATACTATACAATATGTAGCCGCAACTGTTCTGAAGTTCCATACATCGATGGTAACAAAACATCAGTTCCCTTAAACAGCTAGGCTTATTTTGTATCATCGTTGCAAAGAATGTTGAACATGTGGCATCCGTCCGTGAACAACATTACCTCAGCAATGCCTGTTATAAATAGATTCATACGCAATCACATCTTGCACGATGTGAAATAAAGTTGTCACGCATGTGCGGGAGATAAAAAACCCGGAACGATCCATTATATTTTACGAATGGACAAGTTAGATCAGTTATTCAGTAATTTGAGGCCACAATTAAATTATTGTACGTTTGGAATTGACGTAACTATTTTTAAACATTTTGACTATCAACCGGTATCATATGACTTGCGGACGTGTAATGTGGCTACGGCCACACATAGTTAAGTAATTACATAAAGCTCAGTAAAAGAAAGAAACAGATAGACATAAACAGTCTATGTCGTTGTTCAGGGCTATACATTCCATGAAATAATGGTCTGCATATTTTTAAAACGATGAAACACCTGCTGGGACTTTATATTGGATATTTCAATTGCATCACGCAAACACGACTGACACATCATTAATGCAGACTAAAATTATTTCTGGTATCTTTTTCAAATATTTTCCATAAAAGAATGTTTTGTCAAAGACTGGACTGGATGGATATAATTCACGTTTGAGAAAATATCGACGTGTCAGGAAAGTTGGCTATTCTTACTCAGAAACCGACAGTATTTCCTTTAGTTTCTTTTCCATCAACTATCTCTGTAAGTCTCACAAGTGTATGTGTATGTGCTGGAGCTGATGGCTTCCTACTTATAGGGCACGAATATAAAAGCCTTAAACTAAAGTCTTCACGTAATGTATCATGGTATGGGTTAATATCATACAACTTTTATCCTAGCTGGCACATTTAGAATTGTACAAATTTGCGACTTGAAAAGTATTGAAAAGTCGGGGGCAGTTTGATTACCCAATTCATCTGAACGTCACAAATCTGTGCATGCCAATGACATTAATCTCTCATTTATTTCTTTAAGTACTTTTATCAAGCGTCAATACTTCGGTACTTCTAATTACCTCCTATAGTATTTTACTTTGACGAATTATAAAAAACTGACAATACATATCATTAAAGTTTTTAAAAATATATAGCTGAAAAGAATTAGTAATTTATTTAAAGTTTTGGAAAATGATCATGAAGTGCCTCAATAAGCCTTCCATTTTCTAATGCTACAAATAGTGAACGTATCATTCACGGTTCTCAAAAATGTAATTAAATATTCACGTTTGCAAGGAAAATCCCGATCAATCTGCACATTAAAGCAATGTACTACTGTCACAATGAGATGTAATTCTCCGACTGGTGGTTATATTAAAACAGATTAGTACAAGCAAGGGATTCATAGCAGATACATTCACCCATTGGCAATCTCGCAATCATTTTCGCAACATGATATTCCAAACAGACATTTTCCGAAAGGACAGATGTTAACACGTTTATTTAAATTTCATAAAGAAGTTTAATGTACCCAAAATAATTAGATTATTAACTCATCTACAAATGCGACGACGGTGCCAAAGTTTACTCGTTTGCATATAAACTGCCCCTTTAAGCAGTTTCATAAGCGAAACTGTGTTGCCTTTAGGGATCCATCAACAATTATCTTCTCAGCTTATATCTGTTTTTTTTTGGAACGAATTAGATTTTACTGATACCACGTCAACATACCCTGCTCATTTCCCAATGGTATTACCGTGGCCGTTGTTTGATATTTTATTAATACAACGTGTACACATTAGTCAGGGCATACATAATAGGAAATGGCATCTCACAGAGAGACAGAAGAACAGAGAGATTGGAAGGTCATCAGACGGTGTGATTTATATGACAATGTCCAGAGAAAGCCAATCTCATTTATTTAACTCGGGGGACGATTGTATTTACATAAGATAATGCATATGGCAATCCCGTGTGTCACAGTCAGTGATCTTCTGTTCTTGTAACTTAATGTCGTTAAGTGTCACCGGGAAAGACACCAGATATTGTTCATGGCAACAAGTGGCGTCATACCAACCATTAAATCACGGGGAAAGGGCTACATACATTTATACACGTAGATCTCACAACGTCTAAAACGACCTCTATAACATTGTAGGGGACGAATGTGCAGGGTTCTTCTTCTCAAATTTGTCATGTTCCATTCGTTGTGACTATTATAATATGTATGTGTGTAAAGATACATACGTAAACAATATTGTCTACTTTAGATCTCTTAACATGATTTGGATAAAAGTGATTGAGTTACGCAGCTTTGAACAGTGTTTTCAAAAAGCTGTTTGGTAGACATTTTGAGGGTATTTCTAAATTAGACGCATCATGGGCAGCACATGGATAACCAAGCCTGGCAGTCAAAGCCGTGCATCAACGCATCATTATTCGTCCATCACGCTCCCCCGTGAAATAATTGAAAATAAAAGCGACAAAACCCTTTCCATAGCCACATAGAGTCGAAAGTACGGTTCAGACTGTATCGTGTGTATGTTGTCATGCATCACTATAATAAAGTGGTGTTTGCGAAAAGGTGAGCGTATCCTGCCCCACCGGTGGTACCAATCACAAATACATGCAAAGATAAGTCAATAAACTTCAACTGGGTATTACATCTTTAATGTCCTCCTCATGTCTACCAAAACACATTTTGAAAGCTTTACTGAGGCCTTGAATGTTGTAACCTTGATCAAACAACTTTGAGTAAGAGTCGTTTGACGTTCTTTGAATTCTTTGCAGAAAGAGCGTGTACCTAAATCAGTGAAAAGTAAACACCAGAGGCCTGAGCTGCCAGAATAGTGTTCGACATAAAAGGAAAGTGGATTATTTAAAGTGCATAACGTCAAGTAACAGGACAATAGCAACATACACTACACTATTTCGATAGTTAAATATCTTTTGTTTTATTAGCATGTGTATCTACTCAAATATGAGAAGTACTTCTTACTGAGAGTAACCTTTATTTAAAGTCAACTTAACCAACTCGTGTCATACCAATGCCATCAGTTTTTGCTATTTTAATTTCTTACTTGTATTATGGAATATTGTGTTTTTCGTTGATTAAACCATTTATGTGTCATGGTCATTTGCTAATTTCATTTTTTCTTCTCCTGTATAAATATGCTATAGATTGTTGTAATATGTGTGACAACTCCTTACATCTAGGATGCATCCACTGGATGTTCAATCAGTCGATCTCAAACAGTTACATAGAAAATTTTGCGATACGTCATTAGTTTAAATCAATACCTCCGATCTGTTTACTGCGATTCGTGTGTCTTGATATTCGTTTGATTTCATCATACACTGTCACGTGTTACATCCATGGTCTTTCTCCAGGACATGTTTGTACGGGTCGTTGTTTGACCCCGTGCCCCCTGTTATGCATCATTTCTTTCAGACATTTATCTAGGATTCCTGTTTCAATTTATAATTTCCTTTTCTGTAACATGTTACATGCATGACTTCCTTTAGCAAAGACATTTATCTAAAGACTCTTGTTTCAATTTACAATTTCTCTTTCTGTTACATGTTAGATGTATGATTTCCCGTAGCAAAGACATTTATCTGACGATTCTTGTTTCAGTTTACAATTTCAGCTTCTGCCCCATGTCACATAGAACCAATCACGTCTTGTATTGCCGTTTAAATCAACACTTAAACATTCCTTGATGAGACACCTCTCTCTCGAGACATGCTGAGGTGCACTTTGTCAAAACACACTTCCTTTAGCTGCCATGTACTGGCTTTGACTGTCAGACAGGCCAGTCTGTTGGAGACAGGCCACGTGTGTGAAATCCAGAATACCTCAATTCTTCTGAAAGCCATATCCATTTGGAAGATAAGCATAATAATATTTATCGTTTTTTTATAAATAGATAACGTTTCCCAACGATGTTGGTTCTTGACATACTTTAAGGGGTTCACTAGTAAGCTAATTTGCTGTGATGCTATTACCAACTAATGAAAGCAGTGTACAACCAGCGAGGTTTAAGTAAGGTGCAATGATTTCCCTTCCCGTGACACTGCTTCCCTCATCAACGTAAATGTGTTTTTACCGCTGTTGTTCTATTTCTGATCATCGTGCAAAACGAATAGGCACTTTACGTCCGATTCATCCCTAGTTGGTGATCAAGAATGACAGGAGTACTGCTGTGCGGTGTCACAATTACCGTACACATTGGGAAAGTGGCAGTGCTACCAGTAGGGCAGGACATGCTTACCAGTTTTGCGAAGATCTTGTGTCATCACTGATTTTCAGTGATGCACTTAAATAAATTTTACCTCTATTTTGCCTCTTACACCCAATGGCATTTGACACGTCGGATGATCGAGACTGTTTTTTTTTTAAGTTGAGTGCTTTCTGCATGATGGCAGACAAGTAACACATGCATGTTCCCTTTTTGAATTTGCTAAAAGACGAGTATACGTCATGTTTTGTCAGGATGCCATCACTACCCATGTGCTACCGACTGCATACTCTTCACCGAGGGATAGTAATCTCTCCAGATAATCTCTCTAAATCTCTCTAATATCTCCGGAACATATACATAAGAAGCGGGCCATTAGTGGTATGGTCGGGCGAGAATCCAGCTGTCGATAGTTGTTAAGAGTCTCCTCACTTCTCCTCTGAATATGCCTAATCGACAGATCAAGTGGAAATCAGATTTCCTGGCGGTCACCTGGCCATAACCGACACAATATTTGCTATACTCAGACAGATGTGGAGAAGAAACACATTTCTATATAAATCGCATTTCATATATTGGGAACAATATTCGTCAGCGGTACATATAAATTTAGCATTCAAACCTGTAACGGTATGGCCGACATCGTGAACAAATGGCAATGTAATGTTTCTGGTCCTTTCTTGGCCAATCTAAAATAATTCAGCAAAGTTTTATTTTGAACATCCACCAAAAAAGATTGCTGTTTGTGAATTCAAACGAAGATCTTATTAAGAGGTCAGCTGAAGCCTTCAAGAAAAGAACTTATTATTTTTTTGTATTGATAACAAGTTACTTAACACATACTGTACATTTTGATATTAGTGCATTAATATTGATATCATGCATCTGGGTTGGCGCTCAGTAACTGTAAGCCACATCTCCTGTACAGTGGAACGTTGGCTTCATTAAGGAATAAGCTCTATCACCAGGATCTTGTGAGACGATTAAAGAGAACAGAATCAATCCCTCGCCGTGTACATTGGTGTGTGTTTGTTTGTCATTTAACTCAGTACTTAGTAATATTCCGGCTATTTGACAACGGTCTGTAAATAATCGAGTCTGAACCAGACAATGCAGTGGATACAATGACATGCAACAACCAAGTCACCGAGCCTGACCATCCGATTCGGTAATCGCCTCTCACGACAAGCATGAGTTGCTGAAGGTCAATTCTATCGTTCATTGATGACAAAACCCATATAGGGTATCACATACATGTACGTATAGATACATGGCTTATGGGATGTATTGTTTGTGGGATTTGTGTGTTTGTGTTATCCGTGTCCGAGATAGTCATTTGTGTTTAGTAGAAAACAGATGTGTGTGTTGCTTGTATATCACATGAACATGTGATTGTTGCAATCCATGCTCATCCTACCTATCATGTAATCATGCGCGAACACGAAAATCGAGATACTACGCTCATGATATGAAGGACACACCATCGGTCGTTTGATGTGTGTTCCGACTCGACCAAGTTGATGCCTGCATAATCTTATCTATATAACCAAATATATCTCACATATGTTACCAGCATGTCAAAGTGAGGATGACGATCTGCAAATTGACATATTGTTCTTGCCGTGTACATTCTCTGTTTCGACTAAGCACTAGGTTCACTGTACCAGGTGAAAAAGATTTGATGTAAACAAAGTGGCATCGATTAAGTAATTTGCCTTTCAAATTTTCTCAATTTAAAAATTTCATTGAAATACCAATTTTGTTATTATGCAATTTCACTGGTTCTGCCAGAGACCATATACCGCCATAAAGACTCTGGTTCTATTAACCATGTTTCTGGTGGATTAGCCCGGAAAGCGGTAGACTATTAGCCCTCTTCACTGTCAGTCGAGTCGCCGTGCTTTGTCTGATCAGGTGAAAACACCGAGAGCGTCAGCTGACGGCGCTTGACACTTCCAGTCTCCTCAGCCATTGGGGTGCAGGACAACCTGTCTGTCAGGAACCCGTAATATTTCAATCGACAGATTACAGGAAGTATTCTATTGATATAAATCTATAGTCTTCCCCATGATTTCCACAAGTGTATATCGAACGACAAGTAATTTCCTCCTCCTGTCGATCTTCAGGAACTAAAGTGGACAAGGCCTACATGCACTGAAGTATCAGCAGGATCAGATGCAGAAATGTAACTGACTTTTAAATCCAGTTTGTCACTATGAGAATGTCTAAGTAACCTTATGGTTGTCTCGGTACTTATGTATCGCTGAATAGTTTCCAAGCCTTAGCTTTACATCGTCAAATTATTGGTCAATGAACAACACATACATTAACAGACAGAAAGACGCCAAACCACACACCATCTGCACCTACAAAGAAACGAGTATAGTTTTCGCGAACACCTGATATCATCACTGATATTGAGTGGTCCATTCACATAATTTTCACACTAATTTTGCCCTTTATGCCAAATGGAGTCTGTTTCTGTGGATATCATATTGGTTATTCTCTTGCATTGACGCTTTATATTATATCAAGATGCTTACATCTGAGAATGGTAAATTTCCCATTGACAAAACACCTTCCAACATCTCTTCAAAGTTTAGGAGAATAGCTTAATTACCATATGTCTGTTACATATTTACATGACTGTGTTACTGCATATGTGAGACATCACAGATTACATTAAAATATGCATACACTGTGATGGAACGCCATTGCCTATAAGCCTCGTTGCGATTTTGAATCCCCGGCAACCTATGCTGGTCGACTAAATGGACGCACACACAAGCACACACAGACACACACACACACACCCGCACGCACGCACGCACGCACGCACGCACGCACGCACGCACACGCACACACATACACACAAACATCAGATTTAAAACAGTTATTCTGTCTGGGCATGCTGGATTGTTACACAAAACAGTTCGGCTCAGCCTTGTAACAAAAAATATTTTAGCAGTGTAAATTTAAGGAGATATTGGATGGATCTTTTAAGCAAAACAATATATGTCAACAACGCGGGTTAGCAAATCTTTACCAAGGTAGGATCAAACTGGATTCCACACAGTGCCAATGGCAAACGTAATGACAAACACACGACGCTGACCTCAGGGACATTTTCAATCTTATTAATTTCAGATGTTTTACTCCGATGCGATACTTCTCTGTGTATTAGAGGACACCATGGAACATACCGTCAAGGATGCTTGCACGTGGGTACTTGAGCCAATCAACTACCAGATTTCTAAAATCATTCAGATTCATTTTTCTAATTACCTCGATTCTGAAATTTCGATTTGTGCAAAAATATCAACACAATATTTAAATGTTATGTGCCTAAAGACTCTATTGTCAGTGTCAGGACAACATCAGTGTCTATTAAATCATTACATTGATTTATTGACACAAACATATATGTATTGAATCCGTATTAACCCAGAACAACGTAATACCGACGGCACTTCCTGGTACTGCTGTGTAGGTGTAGATGCAATGGCGCTCAGACACGAAAGGATAGAATGAAATATCTACAATATAATGGCGCTGCTGTACTCGATTTCGAGATACAGAAATCAAATATTGCTGTTTGAAAAGCGTCGCATTCGTACTCAGAATTTATAATCCTTATTGGTTTATTAGAAAGTTCACTTCCTCACACAGAGAAGGTATCGTAAGTTATCGAGAGTGAGTGAGTCGGAATTAACGCCGCTTTAAACAGAACAGCATTTATTAGTGTGACTAGGGCACCCGTGTCCCCGCCTTTTCGGATGTGAACAATCTCAGATTGAGGTTTTGGAATTGCCTTTGCATGTATTTTTGACGGGGCAGAATACTATCATCTTTTCGCCAACACCTGGTATCATCACAATTGATAGTGATTCATAAACACATGCTTATCGTTTATTAGGAGTCGTACAATCGACTCTGCATTTGGCAGATGTGTCACACACCACACTGATTTCGTTCCTAGAAAAAAATATGAAACTAATTACCTGACATGTGTCCCCGGTTGTGAGATGAGGTGAAATGGGGTTTAAATTATTATCCAAGATTATTGCACTTTTATAGCGAAGTACATGCACGTGTGTGTGTGTGTGTGTGTGTGTGTGTGTGTGTGTGTGTGTGTGTGTGTGTGTGTGTGTGTGTGTGTGTGTGTGTTGCTGCTTGTACTACTCGGGACTATTGCCGATTATAAAGTGCCAGCCCACTGAAATACCATGCCATTTAATGCAATTTAACACGAATACACCAATCAGACACAGTATACTGTCCTTGTTTCAGCCCCTTAATGCCGAGCTCCAGGCAGGGTAACAACAAGTAGAATCGTTTAACATCTTTTGGTATGACGTGGCCGGGGATCGAGTCCCGGAGCCTCTGCTCTTCGGGCGGACGCTCTACCACTGGACCACGGAAGCGGTCCATGTGTTTCCGGAATGTGATAAGAATATATAATGCTAGATAATTCACGCTTGAAATACATATTATTTAATTATATTAATATAATGGTTTCCCCTTTTTAATACGATCTGTATCAATAGCTCAACTCGCATAGTACAAAAGCCAATAAACAACTTGAAGGGCAAGATTGATTAATGTTACTCCGCCTGACCCTTGCACACGCAAATAATGTAGCTGTATTAAAGTAAATGGTGGGAAATGAATGAAGTCGCAAGTACATCAAAGTGAGACATTCCGGTCATTATCAAGACAAAGGGTGTTAGAATCACAGCCGGCCTCTACACAATCAAATACAGAAGGCTAAGATTACTTTTCTGTGAGAAGCCGCAGCACATTTCCTCTCAATGCCAAGAATAGGCCTCAAACATGAACAGTTTCAGGTCAATCTGTCATTGCCAAACGCGCCTGCAGCATTTTCAGAATCACAAGAATTGATAAATATCATGCTTCTTATTGCTGAAAAACGTTTATCAAATCAGCAGTCCTGACATGTAATATGCTTCTCCATGTTTCCCATTTGTCTCAAATACCGTGGGGACAAGCCAATTGAAGCGAGCATAGCCAGCTGGGACCAATTCTAACCCGAAATCCCCACTGGGGCCAACGAAAGATTACTGTTCACGCGTTGATGACATTCCTGTGTGTGTTAGGTTGAATCCTGTCGTTTTGTGGAAACTACCGGTAGTTAATGAACCTCAGTTGAGTCTTTGAAAGTTGTTGTGTACACTCGTATGTGTTAGTGAGTGAGTGATTATGGTTAGACGCCGCTTTTAGCAATATCCCAGCATAAGGAGGAGGACACCAGAAAATGGGCTTCACACATTGTATCTATATGGTGAATCGAACCAGGGTCTTCGGCGTGAGCCAACGTTTTACCCACACGGCTACCCCTCATAAATAAATTTATTGAAAAGTGACAAGGACGTCGTTTCAAACCTAACATACAAATCCCGAATATTTTATGCCGATGCCAGAACGCGCTTAAAGAAACCCTTCATTTTGGAAATTAAATATTTTAAAGTAAAAGATATACATATTTCGCTCTCATGTGAAATGTGATGACATACATGTATCATGTACATAACTGTTAAACGTGCCGTAAAGGAGATTGCTGTAGTTGTTTCTTTCGCTAACACAAACGCAAGCTTACCTTGTAAGAATGTCGTTATCTTGCACATGAACTCTCCATATATCCAGACTTTGTAAACAGCTTGTCCCACAGCCATGGGCACACAGATCAGACACACTGAAACACATAGCCATCCACTTACAATGGTACGCAAGGCGAAAAACAGTTTTATATACAAGGGGAAAATCGGGGATAAGTATTTTGAAAAAGGGAATATTGCAAAACAACAGACTGTATCGTGAAGCAGAGAAACATTGCTACTAATTATCTGTAAAATATTGTTGAGTTCACGAGCTGGTGAGTTAGGGAATGCGTGGAATAATGTCATGGAAAACCAAAGCACGTGTGTAAACACATTACCCTTATAATGACAACACAGAAGTAGATAAAAGAAACAAACCCGTTCCTATGTTCAGTGTATTCAGGAATATACGCATCAGCAATACACAGGTCACCAGGCAGATGACTCATTCTATAGGCAACATGTCTCATTGTCAAAACAAACAATTGTGATACGATGGTGAATATGTTGCTGAAATATTATTTGACAAATTCAAGTCACATATATAAATGCATGCGTACAGATGCTTGTTAACCGAATCAGCTCACAATGTGAGCACCAACGTGTGTCTATGAACATTAATATGACTAATACTATGATGACTATGTTTGCTGGCCTACCGAAGAAGTGAAATTCATACTTCCTGTCATTATGGTGATGATGGTGAAGAACAACGGCTTGTCGTTCGAAATAAGGAGATTTGTATCTATTTGTCTGTGGAATATTTATTAATGTCACGTCCCTCTTTAATCCTGGAAACGCGTCCAGTAACATTACTCATTTCATGCTGTTTTCATGGATTCATAACCAATAACCAAGGCAAGAAAAACATATCCGCTGTTCTTAATTCAATTTTAAACCATTTTTCCAATGTGCCTGCCATAAAAACCTGTCCAGTGTTTTTTTGGTTCAGGACGCTGTTGAAACAGCTAACGTCATTACGGATTTGATTTTCACACAAGTGATACTAACAGTACAATGAGAAATCTAAAGTATTGAGCACATGCCGACACGTGAACATCCGGGGTAGAACAGGTCTTAAGCAACCCATGCTTGCCGTAAAAGGCGACCATTCTTGTCGTAAGAGGCAACTAACGGGATCGGGTGGCCAGGCACGCTGCCTTGGTTGATATATCTCATCGTATATCAGTTGCGCGGATCGATGCTCATGATATCAATCCCTGGATTGTCTAATCCAGACCCGATTATCTACAGACCAACGTCATATAGCTGGAATATTGCTCAGTGCGTCGTTAAACAAGAAACCAACCAACCAACAAACAAATAAACATACAGGTCATTGCATTGTGGGTAACATACATCATTGATAAACGCATTGTTTTCGACAATTAGGTACTCAGTGTAGACAGAATGACACATAATTAAATATTGATTTGAACCCATATGTAACGGTATGATCGTTAAAGTCAACCGATCTATGAATCATATCTTACAGTCTCAAATCACAAAGAATACCGATATAATCTTGGCGTTACCTCCCATCTCTGGATCATTGGGTACCCTTTCATCAATGCTGTACGACGCTGTTGGGAAATCACATAGACACGACTTGCAACATTCAGGAACCGTTGCAGAGAACACATCAAGTTCATATGTGAAAGTATAGCCACTGAATCATTGACACTGAAATCGCATTAGATATCAAATGATGCTATTTAAGGTGTTTTATACCCGTATATAGTTGTGAACCTCACATCGTCGTCACGAGTTCTTTGTTTTGTGTTTTTATTTGTTCATATACTAGAGCAATTGGTTATGGCATGCAAATAATCAAGTATAACTATTTTGTATTCCTTGCTATAGAGATTCTGGATTAGAACTGATCTTTAGTTACACTTGCTTATCGTGAGATTGCTCAAACCAAAGGACTAATAGTTGCTGATAAAATCGATCACTGGATTCTCATGATGAAGCAATAGATAAACGGACAATGTATGCACGTACGGGTTATTGATGCAATTAATGCTGCGTGTTGATTGGGCCTAATTCAAAATAAATGGAATGATAAAAAAGATACAATCTAACAAGTTTCATATAGGTTTATTGACTTGTGATTGGTGTTTGCAAACATTTCAGGGACCTACAAATGAGCTTGTTTCTTATGAACAATGCTTCCTTATTGTCAATTCTCTGTGTCGGGACAACATCTTTGTCTGATGAATCATTACATTGATTCATCTATACAAACATGTGTGTCTTGAATCCATATTAACCCAGAACAACGTACAAGGTCATCTTGCAAGAACAGTCATACAAGTACATCGCCACAATCGATCCAACTTTATCTCAGATCGCGACATTATCCTCGCTGGACATTAATCTCCCCATTCATCCTGTGTTGGCAATGACTTGCTCACTGTTATTCCTCCTCTGTCTTTAGAGGGAGACGAGTGTGCTAAATACTCGAAGAGATAGATTGTTACATCATTGTAGCGGAATAAACTTTTCTTTAACAACTGGGGACACGGGAGACCCAGTATTATCAATGTGCATAGCTGCGTCCCTTGGCGTTCCAGAAATCCATGATCGTGGGTTCGAATCCAGATTCGCCCTGGTTATGTTATGTGTGTCTTCAGCAAACCCGTGCTCGTGGATTTTACTAAAGTGGTGTATGGAGAGGACCGGCAACTCTCAAGCTGGCAAGCCATGATACAACTGAAATTTTTTTTCAAATCCATCGGCATTGATTAAAACTGATCCATTCTACTTTTATCGATCTCCTTCTAGCTTGTCTTGGTTTTCTGAGGTTATACAGAAATACAGTTTGTTTTTAACATCACAAGTCATTCCGCCACACGTAATGAGATCATAACGCACGCTATACTCCGAAATGTACTTGTACTTGTCCTTGACACTAGGTGCTTTGTCGAGCCAGTATCATGATTATCAATGCAGAGTCTACTAAATATCAATCTGACATTTTGTTTTATTGCAAGATGCATCTGTTTTATATCGAAGGGAATATGATAACATTATCCCTGCAACTTGACTGATAGCTTTATGAAAATACGAAATGATTGCTACCGAATTGTAATAACATGACATTAATATAACACAACAACTGATTGGTTTCACGGTTTTGCGTATTTATTGTGAAGAAATCATGTCAACATGACACAAGGCTTTTGGAAATGTCTCAATTTCATACGTTATGTCACTCTCAGATGAAGTAACTATGACTCGGCAATGCAGGAGAATAAGCCATCGTCAGAAACAAAAGTGTCCAGTAAATGTTAGGTAAATTTTATTGAGGCAGTTTATTATTCACATGTGACTTTCAAGGGAATTCCAGGCTCGCATTGATTACAAGCAACATGTGCTGATTGCAAGAGGGAATCGATTTTGTGCCCAGGATCAATGACTTGGTTGATTGCGTGGCATCGTACCCGACGCTGTGGATCGTTGCTCATGACATCAATCACTGGTTCGTCTGGACTTGATTATTTGCATGTCACTGTCATTTAGCTTACATATTGCTGAGTGCGGTGTTAAACAACAAACAAACATATAACACAAACTCTGATATGATAGAAGTGTAAGCCCATCCGTTCAGTCTACGTACCACTTGAAATGGAGCGGGAAATAGTGCAGCCTTTGAAAGTGAGAAAAGATATTTAAACAACACTATCACTTAGGTTTCAAAGCTGGATTGATCGTGTCGGCGTTCAGATTGATCATCGCTAATTACTTCTCTGATGCTACACTCACGTTATGTCTGCTATAAAGTCCTTTTATCTACTGGCTGTCCTCGAAGCGTCGAGTTTCACGAGGGACAGCAAAATCCATCCGAGGTTACCGGTCCTTTAATCTGTCCTCACAATCTAATCACAGCTCGTATCTTGCGCCAATGGACCTACCGTATATATACTTCATTAATAATAGGGATAGACAAACCTGTTTATTTTGAATATCAATCGATATCTCTACTGTCAAAACTTGTCATTTTCTCTTATAAATGCTCACACATGAAAGTAATCTGTTAATAGCATAAACACAGGTGCGGATCAAATAGCCCCTATAAACCAGGTAGTGACCTCGAATGCGGTATAGATTTTTTTCAATTAAGCATTTTGCCCGGGTCGGAAGTAACATAGCGTTGTATATGGACGTGTACTCATTAAGCCATGCACCAGAGAGTGCAAGCACGCTGTTTGTCTGATCATAGGTAATGCTTTAACGTGGCTAATCATGGCATCTGAATGCTTTACTTGAAACCTACAAGGAATATGGTGTTTCTCGTTCATATTTGCAGACATGTCATCAAATTTGATTCTTATACCATACGTAAATCAAATATTATTTTCCTTATAACGACTAATTTTTTTTTTTTTTTTAGGTATTTATTCTAAAATAAGGAATGATAAAACAACGTGATCAAATACCAACAGCATGAGATGGATACACTGGTACTTACACTCATACTCATTACTCAACAACAATACTGACGGGTCCTTTCTGGATGGTTTACGACATCGATAACAACAATACTGAGTGAACCTTTCTAAATGCGTTACACATTGATGACAACAATACTGATTGATCCTTTCTAAATGTGTTACACATTGATGACAACAATACTGTTAGATCCTTTCTAAATGTGCTACACATTGATGACAACAATACTGATTGATCCTTTCTAAATGTGTTACACATTGATGACAACAATACTGATTGAACCTTTCTAAATGTGCTACACATTGATGACAACAATACTGATTGAACCTTTCTAAATGTGCTACACATTGATGACAACAATACTGATTGAACCTTTCTAAATGTGTTACACATTGGTGACAACAATACTGATTGAACCTTTCTAAATGTGTTACACATTGATGACAACAATACTTTTTTAGATCCTTGCGTACGTGAACATAATATTTCAGGCGGTCTCATCACATCACATAGCTTGGACAAGTAAGACTTATTCAGTCTAAGGTCCTTCCCGAAGAGACACTTTGCCAACAATTAAGCAACTCGTGTCACGTAACGGGGCCATTAATTTCACTGATCTCCGAATCCTCTGGCGATTGTT